CTACTCTCGTGTTCGAGTCCAATTTCGTGTTCTTGACATACGACAAAAATGATTCTTTAGATCATGCAAAAAACTTGAGATGGTGAAGAAGAGTCTATGTTTTTCCGGTACCGAATGTTTTATGAACAAGACTTTGGTTAAGTATGGTTTTGCTATCTAATCATTTGGTTAAAAGAAACTTGGTCTATAGTAAACCGACTTTAAACGGATTTGGGATGAAATAAGTGTGTAATGTTCACTGGAAATAAGAGTGTAATGTTAGTTTTGGGGAGAAGTAGTACGCGAATAGTTTTCCGGGTCTACAGAAATCAGTACGCGAATAGATATGGACATTTTGAGGGGGAATTAATACGTTTTCCCTATTTTACCAAAATCAAATGCAGATAAAACATCACCAAATTTAATCCATGACATCTTTTTTCACACATCATGCCATCTTTTTCACAAGCTATGTAATAATTTAGAGTCAATGAAATTTTTCCACCATAAGTATGATATCCGTCTATATACTACCCAAAATATTACCTCTGTCTATATGTTTCTGAAATTAAAGTTTTATACTATTTCCATCAACTGGAAGTTAAATATCTATATACCCACCAGATGAAAGATCAAGATCTCAGAACACACAAGTATTGGTTAGGTACGGTTTACTGTTTCAGAATTATTTTTTAACCATTTAAGTTAACACTAAACCGATTTATGACCCAATTAGGATTAAAAAACCTGACTACACCGTTTAAACATTGGGAAGAAACCAGCGACGAAGCAAACGAGATTCGGTGAAGAAGAAGAAATTAGGGTTTCGCCTGAGAAGACGAGATTTGGGTTTATTCCAAACCCGAATCGACGGAAATCACTATCTTCGTCGTCTTCCTTAGCTCAATCGGTGCCTGATTTTTCATCCATGATTCGTAAGGAAAATCGCTGGCCAGTTAATTCGAACTTGCTTCCTCAAAGAACAGAGCTTACTCCACCGCCGACTAAGAGCAGAAATGCCGCCGGTTTTACCGGATATGTGTCTTCCATGAGAGGAAGCATATCAGTGAGTGCATGAGAGGAAGCATATCAGTGAGTGCATGAGAGAAGAAGAGCAAAGGAATGATGGATATGGCGCGTAAGAGCTACGCGGCCGTCAAAGATCTCAAAAAATATCTCCATGGCTGCTGCTTCCGCCATCAACGGCGGCGGAGGAGGTGGAAGAAATCAATCGGCGGTGGTCGGACTGTTCTGGGTTACATACAAATTTACTGATTCTTCGATATTGTGGCTTTGAATTTTTTTTTTCTACGATTGATTGATAAAGATTTGTTTTTTTCTTCTGATTTTGGGTTTTTGGTGCTTGATAGATTTGTGATAGAACTAAAAGTTTGCGTAGTTAATTATCAGAAAGCTAATAAAATTGTAGCACAACCATTTTGATCATATTGTTGAATAGGGAATTACACAAATGCTATTGACGAAACATTATCTAGTTTATTCTAAAAGAGATGAGTCTTCACCGGCAAGGATTTTCCAAGATCGACTGCTAACTCTCCGACCAAACACCATG